AGCCGTGACGAGCATACTTGTGGACGATGCAGAGGAGATACTCGACGTGAAGGGCTTGAGGCAGCACCTAACACAGCTGCACGGCTTGCCACCACGGTTTAGACAGAGGGTTCTGTTTCACCACAACAGTTTGGAGGACGCAGTGAAGCTGGACTCCCCCATGGACTTGGACCTCGTTCTGTTGCCATATGCTGATGTTTCTCAAGAGCAGGTGGCAGAGCTGTCGGCCGCTGCCATGCAGGGCTTCGTTTCCAAGGTGGGGAAGTTTTGAAGCGGTAGATTGGCATGGATCCATGAGCAAGGTTTTGAGGCCGAGGGTTGAGAGTCCAGGGTGTAGGGTATAAGGCAGGTTTCTTGCTGAAGGGTTGGGTTAGTTTTTTAGGTCCTATACTGTAATATACCCCGAAACCCTGTTCTAATTTTAGGGCCACTTTCTCAGGAGGTTTGGTTTGAGCATTTGCCGCCCCGGTTGAGGGTTGGGAGAGTTGCTTTAGGATATGACTCATTGTAGTCCGCTTCGCTCCTCAGCTCGGGGAGGTGGGGGGTTTGCCAAAGAATCTGCCGAGAATCCTGTAAGATGTATACTGTGAGCGTTTAACAACATGTGGGGGCGTGGGCCAGGTGGTGCTTTTTTTTTTTTGTTGCGGCTCCGCCCCCGACGCTCTCTCACTCACTGTGGGCCCGGGGCGACTCTTCCGGCCAGGGCGAGGTGGGGTGTTTTTGTTTTCTTCGGGCCACGCCGCCCCTCAGCCCCGCGAACCCGACGAGCCATAACAAAAACATGCCCGGGTCTACCACATCGAGTCTAAAAAGACCCGGCGGGGGGGTCCACAACAAAAAAAGCACAACACTAGTTCCAGCCGGGTGGTTGTTTTTTTTGCCCCGACCCCCTCGGAAAGGTTGTGGAGCCCACTGGGGCGTAACAAAACAATTAAACCACTTTGGTGGACGCCCGGGGTGACAGCAACAAAAAGGATTAGGGACCAGTGACACGGGGCTGTACCCTAAACCCTACACCCTAATCCGCCACGACCAAGAAAAGAACCCGGCCCCGTATCTTCTCAACGAGATAGGGTTTTCGTTTGTCCAACCCAAACCCAAACATTGCGCCCGAAACCCGAAACCCTTAAAGCCCTAACCTCTAAACCCTAAGCGCTAAATCCCAAACAATATTGCCAAACAAGTAGGCAGAGTTGCTTGACTCAGCGTAACGGTTTGGGTTCCGGGTTTGAAGGGTTTCAATTCCACAAAGCCGTGCAGGTTGAGTCCATGATGCAGTTGCCCCAAGATCCGGACTTGTTTGGCACCGGGCAGCGGCCAGCATTGACTATCGCATCCGACCAAGGGCATATCGACGTCGTGCGCTTGCTGTTAGAGGCCGGTGGGGACACAAATTTGCCCGACAGCAACGGCTTCACAGCTGTGATGATCGCAGCTCGCAGAGGATGCGTCGAAAACGTGAGGTTGCTGTTGGAGGCCGGTGCCGACATAAACTTGGCCAACAACAACAACAACGGCTCGACAGCTTTGATGATCGCAGCTGAGCAAGGTCATGTCGAAGTCGTGAGCTTGCTGTTGGACGCCGGTGCCGACATAAAGTTGGCCAACAACAATGGCCGGACAGCTTTGATGATCGCAGCTCACGAAGGACCTGTCGAAGTCGTGAGGTTGCTGTTGGAGGCCGGTGCTGATTTAAACTTGGCGCAGAACAGGGGCTCGACAGTTTTTATGATCGCAGCTTATGGAGGACGTGTCGAAGTCATGAGCTTGCTGTTGGAGGCTGGTGCCGACGTAAACTTGGCCAACAACCGTGGCTCGACAGCTTTGATGCTCGCAGCTGAGCAAGGTCATGTCGAAGTCGTAAGGTTGCTGTTGGACGCCGGTGCCGACGTAAACTTGGCCAACAACAACGGCTCAACAGCTTTGATGCTCGCAGCTGTCCACGGTCATGCCGAAGTCGTGCGGTTGCTGTTGGAGGCCGGTGCTGATTTAAACTTGGCCAACAACAATGGCCGGACAGCTTTGATGATCGCAGCTCACAAAGGACGTGTCGAAGTCGTGAGGTTGCTGTTGGAGGCCGGTGCTGATTTAAACTTGGCCCAGAACAGGGGCTCGACAGCTTTGATGGTCGCAGCTCGCAGAGGACGCGTCGAAAACGTGAGATTGCTGTTGGAGGCCGGTGCCGACGTAAACTTGGCCAACAACAACAACGGCTCGACAGCTTTGATGATCGCAGCTGAGCAAGGTCATGTCGAAGTCGTAAGGTTGCTGTTGGACGCCGGTGCCGACATAAACTTGGCCAACAACAACGGTTTGACCGCTTCGATGCTCGCAGCTGACCAAGGTCATGTCGAAGTCGCGCGGTTGCTGGTGGAGGCCGTTGGCAACAGATTCTTGGGCACCTATTACGGCGGCTTGACTCGCGGGATTGAGTTTGATGATCGCAGGTAGCAGAGCACACGTCGATGTCGCGCACTTGCTGTTTGAGGCCGGTGCCGACAAAAACTTGGCCGACCAGTCTCTTCGACAGGGTGGATGATCGCAGCTACTGAAGGGCGTGTCGAACTCGTGCGCGCTTGCTCTTGGCAGTCCTAGGGGCCCTTATAAGTCGACGAGGGTTTTGGGTGATATTGTGTATGACTCTACGGTGGTCATAAGGTGATGTGCCGGCAATTGACGATCGCGGGGGTGACCAACGACATGTCGAAGTCTCGCGCTTGATGGAGAAAGCCGTGGTTTGCACTTCAAAGAGTTCTAAGCTGAGCCGACCCTAAACTCGAAACCCGAATCCCTGTAAAGCCGCCAGGCAATCTTATCGAGGAGAGTCTGAACAACTCTCTGTTGAGGAGATCTTGTGGCTTTCGAGGGTTCAGCTCCTTAAATGGATTTTCCCAGGGTTCAGGGTTTAGGGTCTAGGGTTCAGCTCCTTAAATGGATCTCTTTTAATCTAGTGCTTTAATTACCATACACGATGAGTAGAGTTGAGGAGCGTAGTAAAGAGTTTCTGTCAGGTCTGTTAGGGGCCTGTACGGTGTATCAGGTATAAAACCGAACCACTAGACAAAAATGAAATACACGCCAAGACCCTAGTCGAATTTGAGTACGGCCCCCAAAACCTGGGCGGTTGTAAGGGTTCTTATTCATAACTCAATATCGTCACGTACTTGGGCCCTTAAGGTGATTAGGGTGGGACTACCCTAAGCCCGAAACCCCCTGGTCGGGGTAAGCATGCGTTGCCGGCGCTGGAGCGGCTTTGGGCTTTCGGAATTCACCAGCTTTTGAACTGTGGGTTTCTAGGGTTGAGGGCCTACAATTGTGGGCTTCAGGGCTGTGTGTCCGAGGGTTTTGGCGCTCTAGCCCCCTGGGGGGGGGGGAGGTGAGGGTTTAAGGCTGAGTGACTGCTACCAAGGTCTTGGCAGATATGTTCTAGGCAAGGTTAAACGTAGTCTGCGGATACTGTTCATACTGTTGACCCTAAGGCTCCAAATATATCTATATAGTATAGACATAGGCCTTGAAGGGGTTCCTATATAGGTCCTTCAAGGAATGTTGTTTTACTAGATAAGTACATAGAGCCCTAAGGTAATAAGCATTATGACCTCTGGTTTTCATTGACACCGTATCACAGACTTTCGAACACCCTGTACCACCCGTATACGACATAAACCTTAAACCCCACATACCTAAACCCGAAACCTATAGCCTAAAAGCCTAAACCCTACACCCTAAAGCCTTTAGCCTAAAAGCCTAAACCCTACACCCTCAAGCCTAAAGCCTAAAGCCTGAAAGCCTGAAGCCCGAAGCAGGCGCTTTGTCGCGGCTTTCGAGTATGTGATCATGGAGCGGCCGGGCCCTCTGCACTCCGCGTAACTTTCAGGGTTTAGGATCTCGCGTTTAGGATTTAGGGTTTGCTATAAAGGGGCTACTGTAAGGGTTGCTATAATTTTTAAGGGCTGCTAAAACCTAAGGGTTTCTACAAGGGCTTGCTTTCAGGGCTTGCTAGAAGGGTTACAGTCGCCTCATCCTGCCCGTGGCCTTAGCCCAACAACACGAAAGTCTTAACTCTCGCCCTAGACAGACACGTTAAGCACTAACTATCACCGTAAACTCTACAGGCCTCAACTCCAAAATCCAAAAACCCTAAAAACCCTACACCCCCCTCCCTCAAACCTTGAACCTTGAGCCTGAACCCCATCACCATGAAGCTCTAAATCCCGGATTCATCTGTTGTAACTCAAGGGCTTTAAAGCTGTAGGAGTAGGGCTCGAAGTGTTTCCTACGAGATGACTCTTCCGCTTGGTCTCCAGGATTTTTTCAACCCGGAATCCTCAAAGTTCTCATAAGTCCTCGCTGTGTAGTGCAGGTATCCCCATTGGAGTCCCTAACTCTAGAGTTTAGGGTTTTGGGTTTGGGGTTTAGGGATAGTAATACTAGACTATCATGCCACGAAACCCTCTTCTAACCATTAAGGCCCCTGCATTAGTCCCTACACCCTGAACCCTAAACCCTGGTGCTGCACAATTCTGGAAGTCAAGCTCCGAAGCTGTACAGGCCAAGAGCATTCAACGCTTTTGGGTTTCGGGCCTAGGGTTTCGGGTTTAGGGCCTAGGGTGTAGGGTTTTGGGTTTCGGGTGTAGGGTTTCGGGTGAAGGCAAGAGCCGTTAATTAGAGTTGAGCCCTCAGCCCTTAGCCTTCAAATGCAGGCTTGTTGGTTCATACACCTACTCTGCACTACCCAAGCCAAGCTTGTTTTGGGGTCCCGTTTATTGTAGGAGCTACCAAAAATATCTTAAACGAGGTCCTCCAGTAGCACCCTTGATTGTTACCAGTTTTAGGGAGCTCCTATAAGAGAAACCGAATAGTTCGAGCTTTGGTGCCCTTATTTTGACATCTCCCACAGCTTCTAATCGTCATCTATTGGTCTATACTAGAGCGACATCTACTGCCAAAACAGTGAGTGACTGCAGCTCATCTTCATTCGTGCTTCTGGGCTTGCTGTGATGGCATGGCTTACCGTGAGGCACCCTCTGTCAACTGCCGCTGGCTTCTACTGGGCCCTTGCCCAGCTTCGCTTTCTACCTTCGCTCTCGCGGGATCGATCGCTTCGAATCAAGTCTAGGGCAAGTGCATTACCTGAGTCATCCAAATCAGGTAATGCAGCTGCTTGGACACAGGATCTTTATGGATCTATCCTGAGGCCCATGGGGTCAGGAACCCTGCCGGCAGTGTCTGCGGGCGATGGCCACACATGCATACTTCAATCCGATGGTCGGATGACTTGCGTGGGGCGCCAAGCGCAGTGCAATGTGCCATCGAATCTGGGTAAAGTCGCGGACGTTTCTGCCGCCAGCTCGCACACATGCGTGGTGTTAGAAGGCGGCCGCGTGATATGCTTCGGGCAAAATAGACAGGGCCAGTGCGATGTGCCTGAAGATTTAGGACCAGTGCTGAGTGTGTCCACCGGTCGTGACTTTACGTGTGCAGTGCGAGCAGATCTGCAATTAGTTTGTTTCGGGAGTGGTGCCCCTGTGACTGCTGTGCCTCAGGATCTGGGACCCGTTCAGGCAGTCTCTGCTGGAAGCGGCCATGCCTGCGTGGTGAAAGCAGATGGTCGGTTGGTGTGTTTTGGCCAGAGCACTGAAGGCCAATGTTATGTCCCGGCAGATTTAGGGCCAGTGTTGGCCGTCTCCTCTGGTGGTTTTCACACATGTGCAATCAAGGTCGATGGTCGGCTGGTGTGTTTCGGAGGTGATGATGAGGGGCAATGCCGTGTACCGACTGACTTGGGATCAGTTCTGGCAGTCTCGGCCGGGACATTTCATACGTGCGCAATCAAGACAACTGGCCAACTGGTCTGTTTCGGGCGGAACAGAGAAGGACAGTGCGACGTACCATCAGATCTTGGGCCCGTTCTCTCAGTGTCCGCCGGCTTTTTCCACACTTGCGCAGTCCGGACGGATGGTCTGCCGGTATGCTTTGGAGACAACTCTGTGGGCATGTGTAACATGCCCCTCGTGAGCTGAATTCGTTCATGTAGCCGGCAAAGCGCAGCACAGCAGGTCTCTTTTAGAATTTCTAGGGTTTGTTTGGGCTAGGGTCTAGGTTTCTAGGGTGTTCTTTGACGCAGCTGCAAGCTGCTGGTACGCTGTACGGCTCAGACATGGGGGGGTTACTCCATGCCTCCAAAGATGCCGAAGAACCCTAAAGCCCTAAACCCTTAGACCC